AGGGAAAGAAAGACTAAGATATAAGGATATGTGTGGCCTGCACTAATATAATGATTAATATTATACAGTAAATCCAATACTGAACAAAGCTATCCATCCTGTTTTCCTTTTACTAAAACACATTACCTCTACAGGCAGTCCCCGGGTTACGTACAATATAGGGACTGTAGGTTTGTTCTTAAGTTGAATTTGTATGTAAGTTGGAACTGGTACATATTGTAGGGGAAACTCTAGCCAAACATTTCTCCAGAGCTCAGTTTTATTCTCCCACACCTCACTTCCCTCAGTCCTTTATTCTCAAGCTGAGGTGTCTGCTGAGAAAAGCCACCGCGCGTCTACCTGGTCTGCTGGGGGGGGCACTAGCTTCGTGTCTCCCTGGTCTGCTGGGGGGAAGCAGCTAGTGCGGGGTTGCCTCACCCCGTTGTAAGTAGGGATCCGATGCAAGTCGGATCCATGTAACCCGGGGACTGCCTGTACTATTCTTACACTGCCACTGCAGATAAATACAGCTAAACTATTGTGACAGTCCACAATATGAACTAACGCCTTTGCTATGTTCAAAGGGAAATGGTAAAGTAAAGAAAGGTTATTAAGAAAAAAAATATTTTTGACCATGTTTAGTGGGATTCCAGATTTTAGTAGAGCCTAATGAGGACTTTTTCCCTGCAAAATCCTATATGTGTCACATTCTTCCTCCCCAACCTGGTAGGCATAAGGATTGCTAGTGAGACTGTCTGTACGAAAGTGACTACAACTTTCTGTATGTCTTTCCTCGAAGACTAAGTCAAAAAGAAAACTCCACTACTTTATCTTTAGTAGAAAAATCACATGCAGTTTTGAAAGGAAGTAGGAAGCAAAAGAAAGGGTACTGATTTCTGTTTAGGCTACATTCAGCAAATTCTAAGCTTTGATTTTAATAAAATTATATTCCTAATTTTCTCTGGTGAAAACAGGGTCATTGGCATTTAAAATGACACACCGCTGTCTTGTTAACTAAAGAACAGCCTTCCTGTGAAGCAACAGTATTAGTTCACCTCTTTTCACATCCTGCTTGTTTCAATGAATGTAATCTCCAGAGCCCAATGGGGGTCATTTAAATACTGACATTATTCTGCAGAGATACTTTGTGTTGTGTTTCTTGTTTTCTGATTTTTAAAAAATAAAACATGGAAATTAAATTCTGACCCACAAAATTATATAATATTATAGTGGCCATTTTGCTTTTCCATGTATATTCCATGGTATACATTTAAACAGGAATACAGTAAGATACAAAACGGAAAACAGAACACAGACAATGCTGCATATTTATATTATTGCAATAGGAACCAGTTTTTGTATTTCCTACTTTTAAAAAATTTAACTGTGCAATCTTAACATTACAATTAATAGATCTCACCGTTTCCTGTGCAATGCTTTTCTATTTATGGATAATCTACAGATATTCACAATTCAGAAGCACTTCCACCTTGAACTATTTATTTGTGTGGACGTATCCCCAAAACAAACACAGTGAGGCTGCAGCTTAGAAACAGCTTTTCGATGTGCAAACACTTAAATATTTACAAGCTTCAGAGGGGTAGCTGAGTTTGTTGGTTTTATAAGTTTTTTGTGTTACAGACTAATAGTCTAGTAGCACCTTAAGGACTAACAAAACATGTAGATGGTATCATGAGCTTTCATGGGCACAACCCACTTCTTCAGACTGAAGTGGGCTCTGCCCATGAAAGCTCATGATACCATCTACATGTTTTGTTAGTCCTGAAGGTGCTACTAAACTGTTGTTTTTTAAATATTTACAGTCTCTCTGTATCTTTAACTGAAGTTAAACAAAAGGCAAAGATGAAAAATCCTATAGCAAAAGAAAACAGGAGCAGGAAGACCAAGTGACTATACTTGAGGAACTTGGAAAACAGAAGGAAAGGTTAGGACAGTTAATACATCTAATGGTGACAGAAGTGATATGAACTGGCCATTCAGTGGACTGCAGACCAGGTGAAATGACTCATGAGTTGATGCTGGAGAATATTTCACATTGGGCTATCTATATGCTACCATTCCCCCCGACCTGGGTGTGTCTTGCATGCCTGTAGTTCCTAGAACTCCACCCACTGTTCTGGCTCTCTAGAAAGGTTTCATTTCAATTATCAATTGCCCTGCAGGCTTCATAGACTCAGTGTCCCTATGGGAACATTTTTGCGCCTGAGTAATAAGGAGGGATGAATGATTATTTCTGTCATGATTGCCTCAATCAACTGGGACCCAATTTTGGTAGACATTACACATCGAGAGAGAGAGAGAGAGAGAGAGAGAGAGTCCCTCCTTCAAAAGCCTACAGTCTGACCGGAGAGAAACCAAAGAAAGTTTTTAATCCTATTTTAGCGATGAATATATGCACAGATCTACAAAGGTATAGAAGTGCACAAGTCCCAGTTTCAAGCTCCAGTACAATCCACAGAACTCCCACCGAACACTGTTGGTGCTTAAAAGCCAGTCCCCCGTCCCCACAACACGGCCTCTGCTTCCCCTGCCCCGCTGCTGCAGAGGCTGTTCCAGCAGTAGCGACCCAATTTTGGTAGACATTACACATCAAGAGAGAGAGAGAGTCCCTTTTACTCGCTGGGCAGGCAGCCCCACTCAATCCCTGTTCACGCCAGGTAAGGGACCAAATCCCAGTGTCTCTGCAATTTAAAAGGCAGTAGGAGCCAGGCAGCCTGGCTCCTACTGCCTTTTAAATTGCAGAGACACAATAGGGTTTAGTCCTGGTGCAAACCAGGACTGATCGGGGCTGCCTTCCCCTATCGAGTAATCGAGCAGTTGATAAAAATTCTATCAACTACTTGATTACATCCCTACTCTATACTTCGGTGATCAGAGCACCCATGTGGGAGACTTAAGACTCAGTATCCCTGCTCCACTAATTACTTAAATGGAGTATGAAAGCTTCAAGAGGAGAGATTGAGGGAGCCCCTCTTCAGAATATCCTGTAGCCCACTGGTTAGGGTACTCTCCTGAGAGATGGGATATGGGAGACCCTGTTCAAATCATGAGTCCTGTAACCACTGAACTAAAGGTTATAAGGTGGGCACCACCATCACCAAATCCTCCTGCTATGTTGTGTGGAATTAAGCAGGCACCTAACTCAGTCTCACAAGAAACAACTTGGGCACTTATGTTGCTTGACTCCCGGAGAAAGGTTCCTGACTGTGGATCACAAGCAGAGAGAGACACCTCCCAGTCATCTAATGTGAGGTGTCTGCCTCCTTTAGAGGGGCAGAAGGCAAGACACACTTCTCTAGTTGGCGTCTTCCATAGGCTAGCTTAGGCAGCTCTCCCCATGTCAAATGCTGGATTTTGTGAATCATGTTCTAAAATGCTTCTCTCTCCCCACTCATAGCGTTGGGGATTTAGGTGCCTAAGTCAGGCTTTGTGGATCACGCTGTTATTCCTGCGATATTCCTGGCACCTAGGTCCCTTTAAGGATGCATGTCACAGAAGTCAATGTGACTTGGCCCAAGTTCTAAACAAGCCTCTGGCGGAGCCAAGAACTGAACCCAGACCTCATGTCTTACTCGAGTGCCTTAACCAGGTCACCCTTCTCCAGAATTAACTGTTACAGCCAACTCCTTTCTTCTGAATGGTGTGGAACAGCACAGCATGCCCTTTGGCTTCTCTCCCTCTATTCCTCCTAATGCAGCCTCCAGAAGGGGGAATATTAAAAAGAACTAAAGGAATCCGAATAAGTATTGCAGCATCTCAGAAATGCCACTGCTGCTACTTGCCACCACTGAAGAGAGCAATGTTTCTTTTAGTAGGCAGCCTGCACACACTGCACTTCTATCCA